ACGGTTTCGCATAATCATTATATCGCGACAAGTTTTCGTGACAGCGTTTATTATATCGAACAATGTAGTTTGTATTTAAACGACAAAATACTCTATATTGACGATTACGAACAATTAACATAAAAAATATTGTGCAAACGATTGGAACTAAGAGACAGACTTTTCAAGTGAAACAGAACAGTGACAATATTGGTTGTGATCAAAGTATTTTATTATTGGACAATTCAGAAAACAAACTTTGACAAAGTTAACAATTTATAAAGATAATTATAACAGTAAGAATATTAAAAGAAACTGATATAATTTTTGAAAGTAACAATTATATTATATAATGTTATATATTTCTATTCCATAGAAAAGGAGGGATGTAATATCCAGTCCGCTACTTTGTACCATTCCGTAATATTACCCACTGGATTGCTATTCTGTAATATGGACCAACCGGAAGTATTATTAAAACCATGCACATGGAACAAGATGGTGTTTGTTGAGTCTGAACGTTAAGCCGTAGTTAATGATGGCATTAGGCATGCCATCAACACATAGACACTACAGGCAATACTAAAAAGCCCATTCTAATGCGCAATCATCTCGTTTTCATCAAAATATCGCCATCATAGATATAGCGATGAAAATATCTCATGTGGCTGTGCTTTATACCTCCCGATATAAGGACAAAAAGTGGCGCTTAATACCAGAACCAGGGGGTTATCACCTACCACCAGCCTTCCTCTGTCTTAATCAGTAATGTGACTTTGGATTAATCCCTTAATCACATGATTTAATCTCCAAATTAATACTCGGCCACCTACTGATGTCAGTAATGACTGAAAAAAAGATAACAAGGTGACTGTCCAAAGCTACCCGCAAATTCGTTTCTACGGGAGACATGACCACAGCATTCATATATTATGTTATATATTATATAAAAGGGTAGACAAGTCGTGTTCCCGAATGTTGTGTATACACTGGAGGACAGAAAGGCCATGTTGATTCCCACCAAACGTGACTTGATTACGTTACTCTTGGCTGGCATCGATTTACGACGGTGTCCCAGTAGTTTCCTTGTCTTCACAACACGCTGCTATGTAGGCCTAGAGGACACAAACTGTGTTGCAGGCGAATAAATGGAACTTTCCGAAACATTACTGCAAAGTTCATCTTCTCTGAGACAACGTTGTGTAATCTAAAAGACAAATTGGAGACGGTATCGAGTTATCTGGGACTGCGTCTATCAAACATCCTTATCGAGCAGAGAGAATATTAATTTTCTCGGCATTCGTGCGATCTTATGCAATAACGAATTAATTTGGGAACTGTGTCATTTATAAGGATTCAAATCGTTGATAAATCACTTGGAAAATTAGGGATAATACTGTCACAGGTATGAATGAGGTTAACCGTCAGTTTGTTTGTTCTTGTTCCAGTGGTGTAAATGAGTGTTTATCAAAGCCTCCGTACAATGTATTACCTTCCATTGATTCTTTAGGTATCATTCAGCAAATCCTTATAGCCAAAACGACTTATTTCGAACCCATATCACGAGCATTTGTATAAATCCTCGCTGTACAGCGTGGGATGAATTACTC